TGACGGCAGAGGATGAGGCCGAGTCGAGGGCCAATCGTAGACTGGTCCACTTGGGCATGGTCGTCAGGGCCGGAGTGACGTTCGAGGCCAGCTTCGAGACGGCCCTGGCCTCGACGACCGGTGTCCGGTTGTCAACATACAGAGTCTGCATGGGCGGCCAAGATATGTGCGATTTAGTGACAAGAGCGACAGGAAGTGAATTGATAATGCTTACTCCGATTGTCAGGCCGATGAGCAGCATCGCCATCAGCGGCGACATTCGAGGCCGTAGAGGGTAGACGATGATCCGGTATCTGTCGATCGCGATCAAGAGAATGGTGAGGCAAGATATGTGCATTGGCACGCCGAAGCCGGCGAAGAAAAATCGGCACACGCTGGTGGAGAGTTTGACAGTCTCCTGCATTTCATAGTACACCTGCAATGGCATGCTGAAGCTGCACATGACGAAATCAGATATCGCCAACGCCAGGACGAAAAGATTCGTGACGTTAGCCAAGGCCCGGCGACGCACGGTGACGAGAATGACGATGACAAAGAGATTTGTGACCAGGCCGACTATGGCGAAGAGGCCATACAGCAAGAAGAGGACAAGTCTAACCAAGGGTATGTGGTGGAGCGCGAATTGCTCAAGATTATACTTGCCGGTAAAGTCGCTACTAAATGTTTCCTGCCACAATCGAGTGGAGATGTTGGAGCTGGCAAAGAGTCCTTTGTTAGTGGTGACGGGTACTGCAATCACATAGAATGCTCCTTTTTCATAGATTACGCTTAAAGTGTTGAGATTACTTTCTCTTTTATTGTGACCATTTGCTGTGGAATTGAGGGAGTTGATTACAGAAGAGTGCACCACATTTGAGAGAAGAAGAAAGCAGATAAACACATCCAGCAGGCCTGAGTTTCGCTGCAAATGCATTTTGGCATTTATAACTAAAATATATAAAAAAACGCGAATACATTGTTTGCTATTTAGTCAATGAGTGGGAAATAGAAAATCTAGTACGTTTGACAAAACCGAGCCAATTCTACACAGACTCTTAATATGCCATCGTGGAGATTTTCATTTCATGTGAAGGTGCATGATGAGCTCTGAGCTTTCCTTCGTCATATCACAAAAATCCTTAGAACTGGCACTTATTCCTGCACAAGTGTCATCTTAACACTGAATCAAAAAGACTGATGGGCTTAGTCCTACATGATGCATATAATGTTAATGGTTATTGCTCTTATACCTGAAACTAGCTATCCTGCGTCATAGTCTGCACACAATACCAGCCATAGCGTATGGTAATTGCGAAAAAGCCTAACTTCAGCCCTGGGTCATCAAAACTCAACGACCCCAAAAAATACTTGACCGAGATTTTGCTAGCCGATAAATGACTCCGGTCGAATTGATGATATGTAGGCATTTTGGCGTCTAATTCTAAGTATGAAGTCATCAGTTAGTCTGGGGTCATTAAGTCACAACGACCTACAAGAAAAAACATTAATTGGATTGTCTCAGTTGATGAGCTCATCAACTGTCCGGCATCCTTCCTGAAATGAGGGAGGAAGTCTTGGGGACTGCTTCAACCTTAACGTTGTATTAAAGCCAAACGGCTGCAGAACAACCTGGATCAGCCGACATCTTCTGGTGAGATTGAGCTACACATCTCTTCAGTATCCACTTGCATACGAAATAAAAGTCTTCACAACAATGATACTAAAACTCGCATTTTCTTCGTATATTACTACATTATCATAGTCTTACATGGGCAATATCCTTCTACGCTTGCAAGAGCAAGACTATTAAAATAACTGGTTAATTAATTAATTGAGTAAATGAACGAGTAAATATCCATTAAAGTTTACAACTTTAAATCTCAGGGACAGTTTTTCGAATGGCTCTCCATTTTATAAGTGTTCAAGAGTTTTGATCATGACAGTTTAGGAAAAGTGAATTTCTCTTGCTCAGGCATTGTGAAAAGGAAATAAGGGTATACATTTTGTCATCTCCCATCCATTCCTATCCTAGAAGGCAATGAGTTTAGCGAGGTAAACCAACACTTGCTGCTGGTAGCTTTCGAAATATCACCGAAAATAAAGAATCATTCGCAGACCTCCATGATCCGGTATCATCATCATTGTGTGCCAGACTCGGAGTCATAATCTAAATTAAGTACCTTCAGATGAAAGCCGACGCCTTTGGAGACAAATTCGCCTGAATTTCCCACAATCTACAACAAATTCAGGGTGCAATCGCTCTAAATTACTTGGGCTGCTGAAAATGTGTCTATACACCGAATCAAGCATATATAGGATCCTTGGGCCATCAAAGACTTTTGGAATTAGATCCTTTTAAATGGGGGATTAGACAAAAGCGGTTTGACCTTTTATTCGTAACCTGGTCCTATTGTCAGTTGAACGCGTCTTGATAATCCTTTATCATGTCTAGAATCATAACGCCGTCTTGGTGCTTTTCGCCTTCGATTAAATTAGAAAAGTAGAGCCACCTTGTAATCTCACCAGAAGTGCAATGGTATATCAAGTTGGTCCAATATTCGTCATAGTTGCCTTAACATAATCTGTCATTTCCGCAATCGACGCTCAATGATAGAATGAATTTTATAACTGCCAATAAATTCCGGAGGGATTGGCACCAAATATCGGCGAGTCTTCTGCTCTCGAATGGGGTTAGTTCGGTAAAAACCTGGTATTCGCATATGATATTGCTGCAAAAGTGTTTGCCTGATGCTATTAATTCCCTATTTCTTAAGCTGAGCCATTAGCGGTTATTTGCACAGCTACAAACGAGACCGGCTAGATAGCTAGACACTTTGTACACTTCTGCTTATGTGCATAAGCAAATATAATTCATCTCAACATTTGAGCATATGGCCTAATTTAGTCGCTTGTTTCGAGACTTAAGAGGAGTGTAGGAAATGAACTGTTTCATTTTTCATAAGTTCTGGAGTATTCAATTAGATTTATGGGAATCATCAAAGGAGACGAGATGTGACAATATGCAATCTAATTGGAAGAGAGGAGAGTAACGAAAGCCCTAAATCTGGCCAGAGTCAGGTTTTCCGGCTTGTATGATCGAAGATTACTTCTGGAAACTAACTAGAACAGTAGTCGGTATTTCCCACCAGTCGACTCAATGTCTGTTCTGAAGATGCCAGTCAAATGGCGACTCACAGTTGAGAAAAGATTCGTCGTGAATGTATAGTTCCAAGCTTTTAGTCAGTCTTATCCCCAACTAGGCCTAGGGATTGTTGCTCGACCTACAAATGTAGTTTATAGTAATGTCGACAAGCGTAGAAGCAATGCATTCTAGAAAGTGTAAATCTTGTAATTCGTGGGCATTCGCGGCGGTCATTTAGACAGGATCAGTATTAAGAGGGAGGTAGAGCAAAATAAGACTTTCTCAAAAAATTTAAGCTGGCATGCAGGGAAGATTAGGCATATGAATGTGGGCAAATCATAATTTCTAGAGCATTTTGAAACAATACTACTTAACTACAAAATGAGTAGGCTAAGGAGATGCCAATTGATAGATTTTTTATCAAGTCGACACATCATAGGCCACAGCGTAATGAATCGACAGACCGTTGGGATTCACTTAAATATGTAAGCAGAAAAAAGTGGCTTAACCATGTTTTTATAATCCGGTCCCATTACCAGATCATTTCCAGAATCAGACCGCGGACTGGGTTCATCTCCATCACAATAAAAGCCATGCCATCTTGGTTATTTTTCCTTCCAATAACTTATAGAAGTAGTAAATTTATAAACCGACTCATTTGATCTTGAGTAGTAAAGATGATTGGAATTGGGATCACAACTAATCTCTTTCGACAGTAGTACCAGTAGAAGTTCACATATTCCTTTCATCAGTTTTTGTGTAAATGAACCGAGTCCAGTTTCAGGTGCTGCAAAGATCCAGACGAAGTCGAACCCGCAGTAACCATCGTACGTGAAATTCATTGGGATTGTGAGGCGAGTAATTCCGCTGTCCGTTCTCCCATTACATCAACTGGGCTAAAGTTTCTCGAGTGAAAAAAGAGGTGTATGATCTGCTCCTAAACCTCTTATTCGGCTGTAGACTCTTAGATCTTGGGGAGCACAAGTGTGTGAGGAATAGCATCACGTGTTGATCTCACCAGAAGACCCTGGAGATCTGCACTCGGCCAACTACAGTATCTTATTTTCCTATTGGATTAGAGTTTCGAGACTACCAGTAAATGAGTAATATGAGATGTATTCACCCTATTTCGTCTAAGGTTACGAAGAACTGGTAGTAGAATTTTTCCACAATGAAATGAGATGATCTGACGTTTCCATTGAATTACACATAGCCTTCATCACCTTAGATGAAATAGGGTGAATAAATCTCAAACTACAGTATCGTTTTTCCGGCGCAGTCATGCCATCACAGACAACCAAACGTCCTGCCCCTAGACATGATATTTCTTC